TGGGTTAGGAGCATCATTCCTTTCATGCTAATTTTCAAGTAACTTATTTTCCCCAAAGCCACCTGGCTGCCCTATTCTACTTGGTGGAAATGATGTAATTAGAACTCTTAGGGGGTGCCTGGGGGTCTCAGTCATTTAAGATCCAACTCTTGATCTCAGCTCAGATCTTGATCTCAGGGTCAAGCCCGTTGGGCTCCATGCTGGGTGTGGCAACTACTTAAAAAAAATAGAACTCTTAGGGAAAAAAGCCCTCCACTCTGCCTTTTTCCAAGGAAGCTCAACTGAAAAATTATAATCATCTGGTGATCCTCATCATTTTGGCTACATAAGATAACAATTTGATATGAATGGATTCATCTCTCTTTGCTTGTGTGTTCAGAGGAGTTTCAGTGTGGAGTGGCCTAGACAGGACAAGCCTTGTGAATGAGGCAGAAGATTAGTGAAAAAGAAATATTATAGTGGCAGTTTGGAGTTGCAGGAAGAGAATTAACCTAGTCAATTCCTCACTCTACCTTTGATCAACAAGTTGCTTTTCAGCCTGTTTGAACGTCTGCAAAGCAAGGCTTAAAATCAGATAATATAGATGTTTTGAGTTTGTATGGTTTCAATACTTTGTATGTCAGTACTCTTAACTTTGAGTTCATTTTGAAGATTTAAATTATAATGATAAAAACAGTAAAAAATAACAATCTTCATGAGCACTTACTATGTCCTAAGTGCATGCTTGTAACCTCTTTTAAGAAACCTCATGATATAGGTAGGGACTGTTATTTCCATAATAATAGTCCAGAGAGGTGCAAAGAGGTTAAGTAATTTGCCCAAGGACACACAACTAGTAAGTGGTGAAGCTGGGGTTTGAACTCAACTAGTTTGTCTTCAAACCTTGAACTCTTAACTGTTAACTTAAAACACACAATTAAAAAACAAACCACATTAAAAAATTCAAATTTATCTTTTGTTAATCATTAAAACATTATACAATTATTTTGATTGACTAATAGTTGGAATGACATTTTATAATTTTCTCATAGGCCCTCGAGTAGTAGCTTTGATTTTGTGCAAAGTTTAGCAGGTTTTCTTTGTCCGACAACTCGATGCTTCCTATCAAAATATTCAACATCTCCTGACTTGTTCTTTCAGTGGAGACATCCTTTCCTAGCCAGAATTGGCAGAAGTAGCAATAGCATGCATTGGCTTGTTCTGGAGGCTCGGGTGTGAAATAGGGTTGTATAGAGTAGAAGAGCTTCTATCATCTTGGCAGTAAATGTCTTTGTTGTTGGTTTGTCTCTTTGAAAGAATTTCCAAAGACCAGTACAACAGACCCTTCTGTTGCAGGGTCCAAGAAAATGTAAGGAGGAAGAGTGGCAAGTTAGAAAATCAACTTCTATTTCAACTGTAGCAGCCATAACTTGTGAGGAAAAATTCATAGCAATTTATAACAGCTGAGAGGAAGAGGGAAGACGCAGGAAGAAATATTGTCGGAACTTATTAGGCTGAGTGTTTATTACATACTAATTTTTTTGTCATGTAAGAAGTTGTACATAATGAATGTGTATAACTTGATGAGTTTAGAGGTAAGTATACACCTATGAAACCATCACCACAGTCTATGCCATGAACCTATTCATCCCCTCCAAAAGTTTTCTCCCTCTCTCTTATTATTATGATTATTAGTGACAAGAACACTTAACATAAGATTTACCCTCTTAGCAAAGTTTAGGTATACAATACAGTATTGCTAACTATCAGTTCTGTGCTATACAGTAGATCTCTAGGACTTATTCATCTTGTCTAAATGAAACGTTGTGCTCTTTGACTAATCCTTCCACTTCCTATGACACAGTTTTCCACTGATCTAAAGTTGTGGATGTCAGCCCTGGATGAGAATAATTAAGAGTTTGGTCAAACAAAGTCTTTTCATTATGCCTTACTGAAGAAAATTGGGTGGAAAATCTAGGTGAGTCTGTTCTTTTTGTTAATAAATCTAGAGAGCAGACTCTGCATGCAGAAACTTTGTATCTGCAACATAAACCAAGCATCAGTGTCTGGTCCATGGGTCTGATGATGGAAAGACACTCCTTCAGCTACACCAAGCTACTTGCTTACCTGAGGTGCGCACACACGTGTACGTGCATGTGTGTGTGTGTGCGTTTTACCTCCAGGCCAGGACCACATAAATCTTACTATCAACATAGTCAGTTGGACATGGGGAGACATGACTGAAGTTAATCTCACTTTTTGTGTTTAAATACTCATTTTTGACTTAGTGACAATGCCTTTTTGCAGGAGTAGAAACCATATCATTATCCCATTTAAATAGATACAAGATTACCTGATTCTGTGCTGCTTTATAATTAAGAGAGTTCTTTGCAATCCTCTCTTGGTTATGAAAGAATATAAATACTTCCTCTGCCTTCTGAAGAAATGAGGACATACATATTCTTTCAATCTCAGTGTTTGCTTATATTAGAATTTGCCGCTCTGTGTTTTCACACAACTTTTACTGTTTGCTAATTTAATAAGGACAAATTCAGCACACAGAAAACATCAGAGATGTTCCAAGGCATAAATTTAAAAATATGATGGCACTTCATGGAATAAAAGTGGAGAGGGAGATAGTGTTGAGGAGTAAAATAATTATAGTTGTTCAAATGTGTTGTTTTCCACAAATCATGGAAACACTGAGGTGGAAGGACCCATTTAAAGTTATCATTTAAAAAATATGAAACGGAATAAAACAAAAATCAGGATCTTAGACAGAGAACAGACTGGTGATTGCCAAAGGTGGGGCATGGGAGCTGGGGAAAATGGGTGAAAGGGGTCAAAAGGTACAAACTTACAGTTATAAATAAGTCATGGGGATATAATGTACAACACGGTCACTATAGTTAATAATACTGAATTGCATATTTGAAAGTTGCAAAAAGGGTAGATATTACAAGTCCTTATCACAAGAAAAAATTTTTTTTGTAACTATCTATGGTGATGGATGTTACCTAGACTTACTGTGGTGATCATTTCACAATATATATTAATATTGAATCAAAATCTCTCTATATAAAGTTATTTTTATATCTAGCTACATGTCACACATAACTTCTTTTAAATAGTGTGCTATCAAAGTAATCCTTAAGGAGTTTACCAGAAAAGAGATTCCATGACTTTCGGGTAGTTTGTTTTTCTTATTAAATGTGGAAGAGATGCCATTGTGCCCTGAAAAATAACCTCACATATACTTCAAAATAGCAGCAAATCATGTATTTGCATTCTTTCTATCTATTCCTCTGTCTCTACCTTTTTATCTCTCTCTACCTCCTAATCTTAGATATATATAGAAATATATAGATTGCCCTGTCCTCTATTCCCAAATAGATATATTTGCCTACAATGTACTGCTTCTTTAATCTTTAGAATTATATCTAGATTTCTAGTCTTTTAAAAATTATTCTCATTGTTTTCTTTGTATTCCTTCCAATTTTTCATGCTCTACTCAAGTCTTGGAGCTGAAAGCAAGCAGATTATTTTGACAGAGTAATAATATGTATTATTATTACTGAATACCTATAGATAAACCTTTACATTTGTGTCACTTTACTGAATGACCTTGAGGAAGTAATTTGCGTCTTGGGTCTCTGTTTTCCTGACTATAATCAGGGTTACTGTAAGAATTAAATTAGAATATGTAATGAACTGTCTTGGCCACTGGTAGGGCTTTACCAGTGTCTAGTTTCTTCCTGCTCTGGTAACTGTATCCATTTGCGCTTGTTCTTTTAGACCATCATTTTCTTGAGTTTTAATTGTATCTCCATTGTATTTAGATTTTTCTGTTTTGCATTTGTTAAAAAGAAAGTCTATGTATAAAAGAAAAAGAAAGTAAAGGCACCAACCTTGAAGGGCCCATGTCTTTGTCACGGAGGGATCAGGTAGAGCAGAAGAATCTCAGTATTCACTGTGGAAAACGTATTGCTTCTGGCACCTGGAAATCAGTTATCTTCTTTTCTTTATCAGTTATCCCCCTTACTTAAAAATGATCTCAGACTGTGCTGTCCAACAAGTATTAAACCATATAATCTCTGATTCAGAGTTACTTTTTGTAGACCCAGTAAAGGAGTACAGAAAAAGCTGAATTGCCAATAACAAGAAGGGAAAATCCTTAACGTTTACATGCTTCTTAATTGTTAGTTGCATTGAAGCTTGTCAGTTGAGTGTGTTTTTTTCACACTCTTCCTTGATTTTTGAAAGTTAGGGTACATTGATCTTGCTGTTTTTATTCTTCAAACTTTCTATAAATTGGAGGATCAGGTGATATTTTTGGAATTTACCTACAGGGGCTTCATATTTCCTGGAATTGATTTGGAACATCAGAGTCAAGCCTCCCACTTTTCTTCACTCAACATCCACTCTAATCCAGTTTCTGCTCCTCATACAGCAGATCCAAGTTGAATTGTACAGATTAAAGAATGAGGAAGGTCAACCAAGGCAAGATTTGAAGTTCCAAAGGGACTTTTTGTGGCATCCCTTTAAAGGAAGACATAAAAAAAAAAAAAAAGACATTTACTGGGAGACAGACCCAGGCTAGGGGCTCATAACTGTTACCAGAGCCATGGTACATTTTTCGTCATGTTAGGCTAGCAACCTTACCTTCTCTTTACTCCAACTTTGCTCTCTGAGGCAGCATAGCATGTCAGAACTTTTGCCTGAAAGATCGTTCCAAGCTACCAAACAAATAATAAACAAGTTAAAGCATCTAGTTAATAAAAGTCTGCCCTGACCTCATCTAGCACCTCATCCAGCACTATTCCACCTGAAGAAGAGATCTGGAGTCCTCAGGTATTTCCTTCCTTTCTGGGAGGATGGACAAAGGGTATCGGCTGGAAAAAAATGTAAAATACTGATAAAAATACATATGTAAGTCAGTTTCCTACCTTATATTTCTTAGTAACTATTAATTATAGAGAGTAGTTCACCTTTTACTAAATGGTTAAGGAAGTACTCATAAGTTTGTTGCCAAACAGTTTTATTACAACAGTGTTACACTGTTAAAGTTTTAGTGTATACTGTTTAAAATTTATAATACATCCAGTAAAAAGACAGTTTTAAACTTTTTTTTTTTTGCTTAAAACAATTTTTAGTTTTGGTGAAAAAATACAGATACATTTTTGCTTTGAATTTACTTTTACATGGCAAATCAATTTGAGGTCCTCCTAGACAAGATGAATCTATTTTCATTTTAAAACACATTTAATTTCAATTTTTCCCTTACAGAGCCTTCACTGCGATGACATAGTTTCCTCTGTAGTTTGGCAAGGCAGAAAATTCCCATTTCATGATAAGTTGGGTTTTAAGAGTCAACACCAAAATACTTTGAGGATCCTGAAGACACTTTTGAACTTGAAATAAGGATTATTATGATTATTAATGTAATTCTCATGCATCATAGAGACACAAATCAACCATGTGTGATCCAGACCCCAGAACAAGCTTCCACTAAGGAGAGGTCTCAGTGGTAATAGCAAGACAACTTCCTCAGGACCTGGTAGCTGTTTCCTGGGGTCTAATTCCCCTCACCTCAAGCTGGGCACACTGCAGGTGTTGTTGAAACAGTGGGCTTGTCTTGAAAGAACAGATTGCCTGCACTTCTTGGCCATCCTAGTACATACCTTCCTGGTAGTCATGGCGCCAGGGAGAGGGAAGGATGTTAGATGTAGGGACATTTAGGAGGTGTCTTCCCCCACCCCACCCTGGGATCCTTAGGACTTTTATCCTTCTGTGTTAAAACATACTTTATTACTTTGCATTCCATCTGGAAAAACAAATAGGTTTTGAATATGGCAACAAAACAAAACAAAACAAAACAGAGAGGAGTATTTTACATACAATTAGAGATAATGGAGTTGGACAATGACCTTGTAAAGACTCAGCTAAGACAAGAATGTTGATAAGAAGGTGTTCTCTAGGGGCTAAAGGCTGAAGGTCTGGAATGAATGACCACAGATGATTTGAAGAACTGCGTTGCTATTAGGGCAACATGCATGAAATAATAAATTTGGAATCTTCATTGTTATGCTAGAGAATTAAGTTGCTGTAGCTATTTCAAAGGAGTGAGGCTTAATAAAATAATAGAGGTTACTGATAATCCCTTTCCATCTCCCTTTTTGACTTGAAATGGGGCTTATAATACATATTCAAAAATGTCACCATATGTTAATCTAGTCAGAGGCATCTTTTTCTTATGAGAAAAACCAGGTTTTGTATTCTCACAAAGTCTGTAGACATTGTTAGCATAATAAACATCACTATATCTCATATGCAAGTTACATCTACCCACTGACATTTAAAAAATAGAGAGTAATTTTTGAGAACGATTAACACAGGTTTTGTACTGAGAAGTGTGTAGGAAGGAGCTCAGTGTAAGAATTTTCTTTGGATAGATCCTTTCAAAGTAATTTAGAAAAACACAAAATATTATTTACACCATACTAAACTTTCCTAAATGTTCTACGATATTTTCTTACCAAACTGTCTTATTTTGAGAATTGAGGAATATAGATATAGCAAGTTTAATGCATAAGCCAATAGCCCTTAACTTGTGCAAAAGATGCACTTAGGGTCTCCCAACACCAAGAAGATGGCAAAAACTCAGCTGCAACTACTTCCTTTTTCTAAGCAGCTCAAAATGCTTTAGCAAAGACCTATGACTTTTACATTATTATTAGTGACATAAGAAAAGGTGACAGGGACAAGAACTGGGGCTCTTGACTACAAGTGCTTAATCCACTAAAACATGCTGCATTTTATTTAAAGTGATAAATACCTTTCTTTGGTACTGCAAAAACAGAAGTTTTAAAGTTGTTAATTATTAATTGAAAATTTCCCACTGGATATGATCTTAAGATTTTTTTTTTTTGAAAAACATCAAGATTTACTACCACTTGAATGGTATTTGAGAAGTGAGAGTGACAGCATATCCAGTTTGGGGATATCAACTAGAAAATTAAAAGAATCAAGCTCAGTTTAGGATAGTACCAAATAAGTGCCCAATTAGACAAGTACTGTGAGCTTTTTTATGCTCCTTTTAACAATTTGGTCTAAATAATTATATTCAACCAATATATTATTCCAGTTCATTCTGGTCATATTAGACGGGAACAAGGATCTTCTGTACAGATCCTATTATGTGACCCCCGTAGCTCCATCGGAGTTTGTAGGTTGCCAGGAGCATTGGAAATGGGACAAATCACCCTCTCTGTCACTGTTACATTTTGCGTGAGAAGTGGCTCAGAGACTGTAGCGGGAGGTTGCATGAGAGAACCAGAGGCCGAGTAAGTCTCTGTTACCAAATAACTACCATGCTGCAAAGTGTCAGGGATGGAAATGGCTGGTTGGAGAACAGAGCCGGAAGCAGACAAAGCAGAAGTTCCTTGACTGCCTGACAAAGTCTGGCCCCTAACAGATTCCGGCTGTTGGACTCCTAGGGAGTAGCCACAGGATTCAATCCCAAAATGGCTGTCTTTGGAAGGCGGCTGAGATTGTTTGGCTTCATCATCGATCCTGAGGCTTATCTCTGCAAGTTTTTTAAATTTGGGGCCGAGCGAGTCCAAGAAGCTGTCATCCAGCTCATCGGCAATAAAACTGCAACAACCCAAGGAGCCCACGGGAGAACTGGGAGCACCCATTCCTTCGTTATCATAGATCAGCAAGCAGTCATTTGCTTCCTGGGCGTCGTCTTCCTCTGCACAGGCAAATGCTTTCTAAAGATGGAGAAAAGTGGAAAAAATGAATTTGGAAGAGTCTCAGTTGAAGAATGCAATACTGTTCATAGAACTCGAGGACTGATCATGAATGCATAATTTAGGTAATCCATAGAAGTAAAGGCATACTCTGTATATCAATAATCTTGTTACAGAAATTATCAGGTGTTTGGAGAACAGTGTGGTTGACATTCCTTCAAAACTGAGTCCGGCCTAGGCTCACGTTTTAAGTATGGGTTTTGAGGGCACTTACATGGATTTAGACCTACAAAACCAATGTGTTCAAAGCTTGGAGGTTACTCACTGGGCCAAGTGTGGGGGTCCCTGTGTGTGCTTGTGTTTATGCTTGGCTTTGTGTTTGTGGGTGGGGGGCAGGCATCCCACTTGCACCATCTAAGCCAGCTCTCAGCCAGTGTGGGGTCTTTGCCTAGACTTCCCAACCCATGCGGGAGCCTGACCCATAACTAAGGCCCACACCACACCTCAGAATATCCCAAGAGTCCTCATCCCAAACAGGCTCTCCCTGCCAATCAGTGTGAGGCTCCACGTTCTCAGCAACAGGTCCGATCCTGGAACTTACCAGCTCTCACATCAAAACTCTGTATGAAATCTGTTCTAATGATGCACCAACCAAGAGGCAAGACCTGCCTCTTAAAGTCTTCTCTGTTCTTAAACCCTTGTTCCTTTCAGTTCTCTGCTTCCTGACACTTCATCTGATCTTTGATCACATCCCTTTTTTCCCCACTTTTATTTTTGGGTAATTAATTAAATGGTTCTTCAGCATTTTGGGCATGGACTCCTTTGAAAATGTGAAGAGTACTATAAGCCTGTCTCAGAAAAACATGCACATTTGACATACTTTATGGTGTAGGAAACACAAAATAAGCTGCTTTGTATTTCTAAAGAGGATGCTGCTGATCCTGACACGCAAAAGATTTTGCTTTCCATTGTTATTTCAGTCAGAAGGAAGAGGTTCCACTTGCTGTATTATCTCCCTTTGTGTCTACCTACCATTTTTCCTTTTGACTAGTAGCCCAATTTTGGCAGCCATCTTAGGTTATCTGCATTATTTTGGCAAAGAACCCTGTTTTTTTCTTACATTTTAACAAGCTGTAAGTACAGCAACAACAATGAATTGCAAAACTGAAGTAAAGTCAAGTAAAAAGATCTCTGATGTACATAAGATAACAAAGCCACAGAGCTTTCCACCAAATTACCTGAGAAAAATAGGAGTCCAGGAAATTCATGCTTACTGCTCCTTCACCATAGTCTTTAATGGTTCCTCCAGTGGAATGCCTTGTTCTCATCGTTCCAGACTGTCCTGCAGAACCAATGCCAAGTCCAGTGGCTGCTCCAAATCCTGCAGCAGCTCCAGATCCTGTAGCTGCTCCAAGCTTGGTGGTCAGTTCCATTCCCGAGGCTCCTTCCACCACTGTCCCTCCAGCATAGGTATTTGTACAAACTTCTAAAAACAGGGGAGAAAATTCTGTAGCATCTTATGCTGTAATTTTTTTTTTTTACTGTTTTTTGATATCGATAGGTAAACACCAAGTAAAGCAAATAAGTGGGAGAAATTACAATTATATGACTGGAGATAATAAGAACATCCTATGGTCTGTTAATGAGAGAGTAACAGAGCAGATGAGGCTGTAACAGAGGGTCTTAGCAGATGGAACAGCTCTGGAAACATACAAATTAAAAAATATACACAGGAAATAGATTTTCAGTGACAACAGCCAGAAATAGAAAAGTAGAAACAGAATATTCAGCACACAGCCGCGGAAAGCTTCTAGTGCAATGCTTATTTGTTTTCAGGAAAAAAGAAATTAAAATTAAGCTATCATATTGCTTTCAATATGGAAATCAAAGAGGAAACATACATAATGTAATCATGCAAATTAGCAGATGCTAATTTAGTGTCTTGGTGCCTGAAGAAAATTTAAAGAGTTATGACTATTCTCCCTATTACCTTTACATTACACTTTCATGGAAAGTTAATTTTTTTCTAGAGAATTCTGAATGTAGTTTTTGCTATGTAATTATAATGGAAAAAGCATGTGAGGATGGGGTAGCTGATAAAGGCAGACATTTTGGGGTGATCTCATGCAGATTTTGCAGGCTAGACATTTAAAAACAATCTATTGCTAAGTATGGAATTAATATAAATTTTAATATTAGGCATTAGGTCTTATTGTTTCTCTAGTTTATGCCTTAATTGTGGCACTGAGACAGTATGAATAAAACAGTCCTTTGGCAAACCAAAGAAATAATTTCACCTATATGAGAACATAAACAACCTTGTCCCATTATGACTGAATTAAAATTGGTAATTGAACTCAAATTAGGGTATTGTTAGTTCTGGGGAAGGAAGAAGGGCAGTAGGATAGAGGATGTGCACACAGGAGGTTTAACTGCAAATATTACCAAAGTTAAGAATAAAGTTGAGTGGTAGGTACATAGTATTTGGGATATCTTCCTTTACATTTTTCTACATGTGTGAAATCTTTTCTAATTAAAAAATTAGTAATTGACTGAGAGCTATATACTTCAGTTTATTAAAGTTTGGAAAATGTATAACAAATCTTTGGATATTAAAAATGGTGGCATCAGTGGGCAATGAATTTCAATGAACTTACGGAAACCCAAGCTTGGCCCCGGAATTGACTAATATACTAATAGTAAATCATTTCATTGAAACCCTATTTCAGTGGGAACATCTCCCAGCATGTGTACATATATGCCAATTATTAAGAGAATGATTTAGAACACTTATTATTTTTCAGTATTTCTTATTTAACCCAGTATTGCTTTCAAAAATCCATTTGATGTTCACTTACCAGAATTTTCCATGAAATCGGCTTCATTGGCAGTGGTAGGTGGCACGCGAATATTTGTGATTTCCTGCAAACCGTGTTCAAAAAATAAATACATTTCAAAATGAACCAGATTTCATGGTACTATGGGTGAAATGTGGCTCTCTGCAAAAGGTGACTTTAGGAGAAGGCCAAATTCTTGCAGGAGTAACCATTTTTATGATTAGACATCTGAAGAGCTATGATTCTAAAAGGCTCCATTTATTTCAGTACTGACTCACAAAGGTCTTTAAAGGTCAAGGAGTGTCTTATTTTTATACCCCATTACCCCATTTCCTATCTGAATATAAATCTAATTTTGCTCTATATGATTGAAATAAATGTTTTAGAAACTGGGTCCTCACCTTGTCTTCAGGATGGGCTCCTTCGATTCCCCACTGATGAATTGTTCCTTCTGAACCATCAGGAACTGGCATAAATCCTCCTGTCACTCCCCCGATAGGACCCACCCCACAGTCACAGGTCAGCAGGAGAAGGGGGGCCACTAGTTATAAAGGAAAATAAAATATCGGAACATTTGAATCATTTGGAAACAATGAGACATGACAATTGTCTGAAACATTAGGAAGAAAATACAGTATTTTCAGGACTCAGGAAAATCTAATAGAAAGCAAAATTAGTTTCTACAAAATAAAATGTAAACTAAGCATCCTAAAATTTCATACAATTATGAAACTGGAGGAGACTGATCGGATCATTCTTGTGATATGTATATTTTCTTGAAATAGTCAGTTTGATGAATGATAAAGATGGTTGTTCAGTTGTTCAGGTCCTCAATCCTTTTCTGTAATATATATTATATATATAAATAAATATATATATATTTATTGCATTTATTTGTCCATTTTGAGGCAATGTATGTTATGTCAGGTGAATACACACCTGGATGGTCAGGATTTTAGGTGGGCAGGATAATGTTTCTGTAATCTGGACTCTACTCATCTCTTAGTAAATAGCAATTAACCAGCAAACTCCCTCAGCAACTAGAGTGATGAGCTAATACCATTGCACTCTTAATTGTGACTTAAGAATCCCTAGCTTGGAGGGCCTTTCCTGTCAGGGTAATTTTCATTCTTTCTGTGCATATCCGTCACATCTCAGCAATCTTTAGATTAACATCATTCTCATGCTAATGGACCAAGAGCTAAATACTAAACTCTCTCTTGAAAGGAAGTTCTGGCAAGCTAAGTAGTTAGTGACCCCACCCCCACCTCTGGCCTCTCAAGGTCTATTGAATCCTCATGTTTGAATTCTGTCCGCCTAGAGGTAGTTTAGTGAGGGCTTGTAGGGTTTGAACTTTGGCTCCACCTCTCACCAGCTGGGTAAGTTTTATCATCTTTCTTGCCTCTAGTAACTCATACAGTGAATGGGAGAATAAATATTATCTACATCACAGGTAGTTGTGAGGATTAATTGAGTTAGCAGTATAAGTAAAGGACCCTAGTGAGTGCTCTGAGGATTTGCTAGTATTTTCTGGAAGGGCTACATCAGTTATGCAAATTAGGTTGGTCCTATATTATAAATAAAATAGGTTGGACATAATGCATTTTCTTAAAATTTAATATAATAAATAAATGATACTTCTACAGGCTTTTTTTTTTTTTTATTCATTGCCATTCTCAATTCTATGACTTTGTTAAGTGTGTGGGAAGAATTGAATATTGTTAGTTGACAAATTAGTTTTTAAGGTGATGAATGTACACCTGAATGGTGAGTATTTTTAGGTGGGCATAAATTGTCTTTTAGAGATCTTGCTTATCATAGTTATCTGCAATATATATTTGGTTTTTATATATGTATCCAGAAAAAGTTTTTCAAAGTGTTGAGTGCATTTCTACAGACTGAAAAATGTATGTTTTATCCTGCACAAAAATCAAAACATGGCATGTTTTCAAATGGTAGGAGCACAGGAAGCAAATATGATTGTGGGAATATAACATGGTGTACTTTCTCTGATTGCCATCCTGAGCCACAATCCCAAATGTACAATGGCTTGCCTCTGGGATATATCTACACCCTAACAGTCAGTATTTCAAAATGAAACTCATCACTGCCACCCTGTGTATCTGTGCTTCATCTAATGTTTTCAATTTCATTTAATGGTTTAAGTGACAACGGAATTCAATGGTTCATCTGGATTTCTTATCCACTCTTCATATTCCTTAGTCTCCAAATTTTCTCCATGTAATGCCTCACACACTTATCCTTTCCCTTCCAGTCTCATGTCTAAATCTGGCTTTTATCTCTCTTTGAAACTAGTAGAAGAACCTCCTAACTGTTATTTCCTTTCTAATTTACAGTACACAGCGCTGCCGATGTTATCTTTCTAAAACACAAATATGAACATGCGAGGCTTTTATTTAGATACTTTCAGCAACTCTTTTTTCTCATAGCTTAAAGCACAAATACCATAACATATGTACGTAAGCCCTTTCAAATTGGTTCCAGTTTCATCTCCTTGACTGTCCACAATCTCCCTGCATTAGCAGGGAGGTGTGATTCCTAAAACATGCAAAGCATTTTCTGGGTTTGGCTCATGCTGTCACCCTTTGGCAACACATTTCCCTTTTTTTTGTACTTTCTATATCCTACTCATTTTCCAAGGCTCAAATTGATGATTGATTCTCTTACTCCACAAAGTCTCCATAGTACCCCTTTGTATTCATTTCTATTATAGCTGCATCATGGTATAGTTTTTTTTCCATAGAGTTAGACACGCATAAATCTGTGAACTAATGAAAACCAGAATCAGGTTCCCTTCCCAGCTGGCTGCTTGCGTCAAGACTCACATCTATGTACTTGAAAAATCTTTTGGTTTTGAAATTGACTAATAAGATATTGAAAAACTGAAAGGTGAATCGATTTCAAGCTGTGAAATGGAATGATGCATGTTAACTGCAGAATAGTAAACACTTTTGGGGAAGGCAGAAGAAGAATATACGGCATGTGTGGGAGGCCACTAAATGTATGGATATCAACTTCTTTTTTTATAAAAAGAGATCTGAAAAGATATGGCAAATATTAAGATCTGTTAAATCTGAGTGATGGTTATATGTGTGCTTGTCATGTAATTTTGTGCACTTTGTGGTTTAAAAATATTTTGCAAATTTTAAAAAAATTTAAGTGAAGGGGCTGGAGTAGACTTGTTTATCATGAACAATCATTTTAATTCTAAAAGCCTACAGTTCTATAATAAATTTGGGAAATGAATGTGAATTTATCAAGGATTTTTCTTATTTATATAAGAATTTGCCATGAATTTCCTTTAAATAGAGACCTATTACATTAAAAATACTATTTGATTCACAAGATTTTAATTTAATTGAAACTTTTAGAAACCTATCCATTGATTAAATTTTACTTTTATTGAAAAATACAACATGTGTGTAGTTTCCCTAAATGTGCTCAGTAAGCTTAATCTTATTAAGTGAAAGCCTTTAAGAGGGTGTATATATAGTGGTCAGCTATTTTCAGAAAGTGCTGGATTAAGCAATAACTTTTCAGAGCCTATGATGTATTAATGTTCATTATAAAGCTCAAAGGCTATATATCCTCTATATTTTTCCCTAGATTTATTTGGCAGGGGTTCTTTTTCTATTCTATGTCTGTGGACTTCTTTATGGGTAAAGGCATTATTTTGATGATGAACATCACTGGCAGTATATAGAAAGTGTTCATGCTTTAACTTTTCTCTTGTTGATTCTCCTGTGCTGTTTTCTAACTGTCTAACATATATATGACTTGCTTTGTTGTATTATGAATAGATTGCTGGCAAGTGACACATTAACTTTCAACATGTCCAGTTCTTCCTGAAAATGTTACCCCCACCTTTGCCCATAACACAGTTAAGGAATGGTTGTACATTACAAAGATAGCATTGCCCATGCAACCTGAAGGCCCCCACAAAGGCTGATTCCCCATCAGAAACAGAAGTTAGCTTTGGCATACTCACATAGCAACAGCAAAAGACCAAGGAGTAGCAGGCCGATGGCGGCAGGCCCCAGCCTCACTGATGATCTCTTTCCATCTATGGGATCATTATCACTAGGAGTTCTACAGGTGTCCCTGTTGTCACACTGGCAGACTTCCAGAGTCAGGCTCTCTGGTGTCTCGCACGGTCTGTCCTGACTGTCAGTAACAGTGAAGGCGATGCTGTGCGTTCCAAGAGATGGAGGCTGCAGGGCATTTAGGAGTGCGGAAGTAGCTGAAGACAAACAATCACACAAATCAACAGCAGGACAAGGTGTCTTTTGCTCTTAAAACTACTTATTTTTGTTAACAGACCCAGGGTTGCCTTAAGCATCATTGTCACAGATAGGGAGGCTGATAGTAGGGTGAGGTTGGAACAGTTCTGAGAGTGATAAGGGATTCAGTTGGATAAATCAGGTTGCATTTCCTCCTTGTCCTTCTTTCTGCCCCAGATGGGCCTGTTATTGCTTCCCATGAAGACTCAGTCCTACCCTGATTTTCCCCTGAAGGATGATGGGAGGCAGGTAACATTTCAATATCAGCCCCCCTCCCTCTCCTGGGGCTTAACCAATCTCCTCTATGTCTGCACCAACTCCCTGGACTCTCGTGTGGCCCTCTGGACGTATGCCTTCCCTCTGAATCCATGCTTTTTGCCTGACTTATCAAGACTGAATTTCTGCTTTGGCTTCCACTACCTCAGCTGTTGCTGATAGCATTCATTCCATGTGCCCAAAAGCCAGTTGTATGGGATTCTCTGAGGTGAGGGCCTGTTGCCTATCTAACTCACAAACATTGATCATTCTCCATTGCTATGTTGTCCCTTTCTAAGTGGACTCCAGTAGCAGCTCTTGTAAACTGCAGAGTTGTGTCAACTGTATCACTCTTTTTTTTTTTTTTAAAGATTTTATTTATTTATTTGAGACAGAGAGAATGAGAGAGAGAGAGCACGAGAGGGAGGAGGGTCAGAGGCAGAAGCAGGCTCCCTGCCGAGCAGGGAGCCTGATGCGGGACTCGATCCTGGGACTCCAGGATCATGACCTGAGCCGAAGGCAGTCGCTTAACCAACTGAGCCACCCAGGCGCCCCCAACTGTATCACTCTTGACCCTGCCCTTTGATATTATGCCTGATCCACTCAGTCCAACCACTGTTGCCTTGTCCAGCCTCACTCAAGCAGGTATGTCTAGTGCTGGGTCCTGTCTCTCTCTGATGTTTCTTTTGCAAACTTTTCATTGTCCATGTGCTGGTAAACCCATTTGGATCCAAAAGCTACATGAATACTTTGGAACTAGGAACTTACACCAAGATCAATAAGGCCCTCGGAAAGAAGGCCATGGAGGACAAGATCCCTCTGGTGATTCTAGCAATGGCCGATACCTGTGACTAGAGAACCATAGAGCACATTCATGGAGGGAAGCAAGATTGGTTCAGCAAAGAACCAGAGAAAAGTGAGAAGATTCTTATTAAGTCCAATGGTTATTTCTAGGAGACTACTAGAAAACATTAAAAATGTAAAATTAGCATGATAAAGGTTAGAAGAAAAGGAAGGATGAATGAACTCTTTCCCACTGGCTAATGAGCTAATGGGAATTTTAGTCTACCATGCTGTCAAGATTCCTAACTAGTGACAGACTAAGTACCACTCCTATGAGCCTTGAACGGGCAACCCATCCAGTACTTCATATCTGTTCACAGTCTGCCCAGTTAGGAAAAGTTTATATATTTAGAAATTTAAATAGCTCTGCAATAGAATTGATGGCTGACTCTATTCTTTTTATGGTGTGTTGTGGAGGTAGAAATAAGACATTAAAAATACAAAACAATTAGATTGCACATAAAAAACAAAATATTAAATAGTACAAACATATCGTATCATTCCTCTTCTGAAGAGAGAAGAAATTCATGAGGCTAGGACCGCATCTTCATTGCCTTTAAAGAGTTTTTTCAGTTATTCTTGGAAGAGACTTGTTCCCAAATGAGCCCTTTTATCCCTCTGGAAATATAAAGAAGCAGCAACTTTTTCATTTACGGAAGCAAGTTTACCATTACTCACCATTGAGTGTTGTGATACTCCACACAACTGGTAATTTTAGTGGTTGCGCCTCCAGAGAAAATGTGTAGGGGCCAGTATATTTATTGTCTAGTGCTCTAGCTGAGACTACCACAGAAGGCTGTGAACTACAAATTGTTTTCTTTTCAAGGACGATTGTTGGACAATTTTCATTAAAACCAGGTACTTTAACATATATGGTGCCTGTAGAAGTTTTACCTGTGTTTTCTGTAAGAATAACATTTTAGAATTAAAGAAATACACAGAATATGTTGTACCCCCCCCCAAAACCTTTTAAATGTCTCTTGCATGGGGCACCTGGGTGGCTCAGTCATTAAGTGTCTGCCTTTGGCTCAGGTCATGATCCCAGGGTCCTGGGATCGAGCCCCGCATCAGGCTCCCTGCTCAGCGGGAAGCCTGCTTCTCCCTCTCCCACCTTCCCTGCTTGTGTTTCCTCTCTCACTGTGTCCTCTGTCAAATAAATAAATAAAATCTTTAAAAAAAAAAGTCTCTTTCATGCAGCCAACTTAGTGTGTCTTCTCATGAGAAATTATATTCATTATTCTTACAAGTAAAAAGATGTCATTTAATTTCCACATCTTGTAAAAAGCAAATTTAAATTTGCCAACTTGGCTGGTGTCTATAATTAGTAGCATTAGCTATTAGTTTAATATGCTTGGAACCAAGACCTGTAAGGTGATGAATTCACTGATTACAAATGAAATCAACATAAAAACAATAGTTTTCTTAAATGTATCCTACTATATGAACCCAGCACTGTGTGAAAGATTTTTGCTTCTAAAGCTTGAGCCGAAGTATTTGGAATAAACAATGATTGATTTTTACTATCCAAGATACAAAAGTTTACTGAAGAAAATTTTTTCAATGTTGACAATCAAAAACAATAAAGAAATAAAGTAAAAATTTCTCTGTGGTAGGATTATGAATACTTTCTGTTGTTTCCCTTAGTGCTTTTTGCTCTTCTCCCGGGTGATACGATTTTTGGTGTTTATTCTTTCGTTTTATTTTCTTGTTTACTTATTGCCTGAGCATAAATTAATTTATACTTGATGAAACACAAAGCACCCAAAGAATATTATTTTTGAAACATTCCAAAAGATTTTATTGTTCAATGATCTGGTCGCATGAGGTCTCTGTAAGTGACTCACTTTATAAGTAACTCACCAAGGCACCTCGCATTTGAGTTGAGCTTTCCTGACAGGCCTTCTGTATCAATTTTTATCCATCCTCTCAAACACAGAAATTCCTGTGGGTCTCAAAATTTCTGCCTCAACACAGCAGACCACAGGAACTGAACACAGAATTCACTGGTACTAAAAACTCCATGAGAAGTTGGAATGCTCAGTCTTCTGGGTTCAGCTGCCTCAGATTTGAGACCCAAGGCCCCAAGTAAGTAACTTTATGTAGTGATAAAGGTAATATGTTAAATAATCAGAATCTATTCATAAAAAAATGCCAATTGGAGTTAACATTTCTCTAAAAATGATTGAAATATATTTTTTAAAGATTTCTATTTATTTATTTATTTATTTATTATTAATTAATTAATTAATTTGACAGAGAAAGAACAAGCAAGGGGAGCGACAGGCAGAGGGAGAGGGAGAAGCAGGCTCCTCCCTGCAGGGATCCCAGTTCGGGGCTTGATCCCAGGACCTGGGATGATGACCTGAGCCGAAAGCAGATGCCCAACCGACTGAGCCACCCAGGCACCCCTAAGATTTTTATTTTTTAAGTAATCTCTGTGCCCAGTGTGGGACTCGAACTCACGGACCCAAGATCAAGAGTTGCATGCTCTACTGAGTGAGCCAGCCAGACACCCCATTTTGAAATATTTTTCTTACCATCTATGGCCAGAACCTCAGCTGTGATTGTCTTGTTAACTATGAAAGTTAAATCCCAATCGATGCTTTTGACAAATTTGATTTGAGCAGTTTTTGAATCAATGAATAGTAAACCACCATCATTACGTCCCATGATATACCTGTTTTATGACAGAAAAAATAAAATTTTCTTTCAAATATGGAATGTTTACCTATTTAATGAAAATAACTCATTTTATATTTAATGTATTTATAGTTAATTTAAGACATCAAAATATACTCTTATAAACAATGGCAAAAAATTAGCATATTAGCACAGACAAGCAGTATTTCATAGTCCTTAAGTATTAGCCTGCTTTTTCAATTTTCTACTTTGTGCAATAAAATAATTGTTTTCTTGCTCTTACAGCATCTACATTGCATGGTGTTCTTATATTTTGGGGCATATATGTTTTGTATGTGCTGTCTTATCTGATTGGTCTTCTGCTGAACTACTCTTTTTAAACTCAACTGAAAGTTTCTGTGAGATCTTTTCCTGATTTCTCTCCATAGGCTAAGGCATTCTTCTCTTAGTTTCCACTTTAACTTATGCTTATGTTATCTTCGCTCATAGCCCAATATGTTCCAATGATTTGGCTATAAGTCTCTTATTGAGTTAGACAGTTCCTTGAGTTGGCCACTTTGTGTCTCTTTGTATTCTTGGCATATAATAGTTTAGGTATTATTTTGTAGTAGCTTATAAATTAAAACCACATCAAGGAATAATATAAAAACAGTCTTACTTGACATATGAGGCAGCTTTTTTAGTATCCTCATCAATAGCTGGATATGTTCCCAGAACATAATTGACCAGTTTTTTACTACTTATGCCTTTCTGCACAGTAAATGTCTTGGAAGCAGGATGGAATGCAATTCCTTCTCTCACGTTGACTACTTGAATCGTGACTGGGGTTGACTGCACTCGATACTGAGAAATTACTGATTGGTGAAATTCAGCTTTGTTTTTGACAGCAATACCAAGTTGTACATTTTGTAGTTGTTCATAATCTAGAGCCTGGAGTAAAAAAATAAAATAAAATTGGAAGGAAAGAAGTATCACAGAGATACAATCCAGCAAACCCAGAACAGGACAAGAGAACTCTATGTCCCACGCTATGAATGGCCTCTTTTATTTCTATATAGCAAGACGGCTTCAGAAATCATTGTAATGATGAGGTGGGGAAACCATTAAAATTCTTAACTCATAAGACCTCAGCTTGGGGGGCGCCTGGGTGGCTCAGTCGTTAAGCGCCTGCCTTCGGCTCAGGTCATAATCCCAGGGTCCTGGGATCAGGTCCCGCATAGGGCTCCCTGCTCAGCGGGGAGTCTGCTTCTCTCTCTCCCACTCCCCCTGCTTCTGTTCCCTCTCTCACTGTCTCTCTCCGT